TTTTTTTATAAATGTTTCAAATTCCTTATTTTTTAACAAACGCCTTGTGTAAGTTATGATCTGTTTATATTAAATTAAATAAAAAACGTTTTTAATCATATTATTATCAATGAGGAAGTGGCTGTATAATTATAATAATTACGTGTTGTTGTTATTTTGTTAGAATGGTAGCGAGTTTTTTAAGAAAAATAATTTTTATTTACGATTTTTCGAACTACGTTTAAATATTTAGAAATATTTGCGATGGAGGGCAAGACATTATAAATTGTGATAATTAATTTTATAAAATATAAATGACTATTTTAAACGATAGATGGCACTGTAAAAAACTCAAATTTGCATATTGATAAAGTTACATAATTATAAATTTTAAATATAAATTTAATTTAAGAAAAGTGTTTATCCTTTTTTACATACTAAAAGAATTATCATAAATTCTAGAAATTAATTTTAAAAATTATTTTCTGTAAATTATATATGTGTTGTATGCATTGATTGTAATTTAATTCAAACAAACTAATTTGTTTGATATTCCTTTTAAAATAAATTTTTCAAACATATTTCCTCTAAAATTGATGAAACTTCATGGGTTAATTATACAGAAATAAATTAAATTAAATTAAATTACTTGTTAATTGTGGCTGTACGCTATGTATTTTATAATTTTATTTTTACTTCAACGTTCTATCTTTCACTTTCACTTTCTTTGTTCTATTGTTTTTATTCTGTGGAATGTTCCTTTTCGAAATTCTTTCCCTTATTTGGTCATTCAAAATATCCTAGAACAAAGGAAGGGTGTCCAATCCAAGTCACGAGGGGTTTGGATTTGGATATTAATTAAAATTAAAAAGTTCATCAAAATATCCCTTCAATCCTCGACAGTTCTAAAATCTCTGATGGACTCCTTGGACTTTGCGCAGTAATGATAGTTTGGATATTGCAGTTTATGCGCTATACTGAATTGTTTGGCAGATCTCGATCCGAATTAAAACAACAGGCATTACATGCCTTTTAATGAAGCAGTTTTGTTCTTTAATTAAAGGACAGATTGAACTCAATCTTCAATTCCAAAATAATGCTCTACGTAATGAAATTAAGCGGTAAGCTTATAAGTTTATAATGATTTTATTATTGTTTGTTGACTTTCTTTTAATTTCACCGTAAACCCAGGTTGAGAAATGATTTGACATTTAATAAAAATACTTACTTGTATGGGGTTTAGAAACAGATGAGTGGAAAGTCAATAATTATAAATAAATGAAAATATTTTAATAATTCATTATAATCAGTTTTGTTTATTAATTTAATAGTTACACCAGACAAATAGAAAATACTTCACAGAAGAAAAGCATATTAAAAGGCCGATGAATTCGTTCATGCTATGGAACAAAATGTACAGGAAGAGTTTCTGTCAGAGATGGCCCCAGTTACCAAACAGAGAAGTCAGTAAGTTGATGGGCCAGAAGTGGAAACTCCTCTCAGAAGACGAGCGACAGCCTTTTATACAAAAAGCTAAAGAATTGCGTGTATGCCCTGTGATAGTAAGTTGACATTTTTGATGGTATTGCGTACATATGTTGTGACACCATAAGAACTGTCATATGTTACTCCTATTGCAGTGAATCCCGGGATGTGGCATCTTTTCCGGAACTGGTCTTCATTTGGGACATGTGTCTCTTGGACGGCAACCACATTAACATCATTGTCCAACAGCAATTTTGACAGATATTCACGTTTTGATTTGCTTATATCCTCTATGTTAAGCTGGCATATCTGCATGGTGGTTCCGAGTACACGGGAGTGTGACCCTAAGCTCTTAAAAGAGCTGTTTTTGAAAGTTTGCGGTGTCATGTATGAGTAGCCAGGAGATCTTTTCAGATAGACTGGCTGCCAGAAGACTGTTGCTCGTTTAGCACCACTCAGGGGTCACGTGTAGGGTACTTTGTGGTTAAACCTACGGACGTGAGCAACACCAACCCCCCAAAGAATTGCGTGAAGTGCATAAACAGAATTATCCGAATTATCGTTACTGCGCAGCAAGTCGAACAGTAGTCAGCCTACCCCGCCTAGCATTAGCCTGGAAAATAATGGTGCCATTCCACAAGTGTCGCATCAGGCAGAGTAGGAGGACTTATTTGACTTTTTGAATTCGTTTCAGATCCCAGAAAACTGGGAACCTGTAATAGACAGTTTATGATATTTCAGAATTTTTAAATTTGTAAAGATAGGAGGTCTACTGTAATAGGATATATTGATCTTGGTTGTGGAAATCTTAATGCTGATAATACTCTCATGGCAACACAAGCACTTGTATTTTAGTTAATGCAGTCAACAAATGGAAAGCATTAAGATTAGAGGTACACAAGTAAGACAAATGTTTACAAAAATGATTATATTTAAAGGACAGTGATACACATCATTATTTTTAAAATATGATATACAGTATGTATAATATATTTTGCATTGCACTATAANCAAAAATAAAAAATTTGGGGGATCATTTTGACCAATTGCCATACTTTCAGTTAGGAAAGTAAAATATATATATATATTAAAATTAATTTTAGAAGATAATAGAACTTAAATTTTAATTATAATTTTACAACTAGGTATACACGATGCCAGAATATCTCAGGAAACGTTTCGGAGGCCAAAGAATCAGGATATATTTATCAGTTCTCGCTCTTCTCTTATACGTATTTACTAAAATTTCGGTAAGTTTTAAGGGTAACAATTGAAAATAATTCATAATTCATTCATAATTTTAATATTTCAAAAACAATTTTAGGCTGATTTATACGCTGGAGCCATATTCATCAATCAGTCGATTAAGCTGGAGTTATACAGTTCAGTTCTAACCTTATTAGTAATATCGGCGCTGTTTACCATATCCGGTATGTAAATTTAATAAACCTTAACCCGTCCTTACGATCCCTACACGACATTAATGTGATATTTAAATAATTTTAGGAGGTTTAACGGCGGTTATGTGGACAGATTCGGCTCAGACCGTGTTAATGCTCATAGGTGCCTTCGTTTTAATGATACTGAGTAAGTACAAATTGTAACGCGATAAAATTAATTATAATTAAGTTTTAATTGTGTTTTAATTGTTTTTAAGGTTTTATTAGAGTCGGAGGTTACACCGAATTACTCGAGAAATTTGCTATGGCTCAACCCAATGATAGTTATATAGGGTATGGCATAGATAATAAGTCTTGCAGTTTGCCACCCGACAATTACAAGCATCTTTTAAGAAGCGCGAGCGATCCAGAATTACCTTGGACCGGAATTACCTTTGGCTTGACAATATCAGCAGTCTGGTATTGGTGCTCTGACCAGGTATGTGATTACAGTAACTTAACAATACTCTTGTTATAGATTAGTAGAATCAGGCTAGATTTACACTTAATTTATAAAATACAAGAGGCTCTTCCGGCTCACAGTGGCCGAGTGAATAGAACCAGTGAACAATGGTATCTGGTCACGGGTTTCTTGACGTTTGTAACATCTAAATAAGAGCCAGTTTCATGTAGAAAGTCCTCCCAGGAGGAATACCGCTCACGAGTTGAGTTGCAGTATATAAATAAGAGGTCTTTCACCAAGTAATGAATTTAAATATATGAGGTCCTCCGTTGTAGTTTGTTTAGCTTATACAGAGGACTTAATTTGTCATTATGTAGCAGGCAACATGCACTTTTAAGTAGTGATTACTTCATTATAATTAATTCGCGCGCCATTCTTTTATACAAAAAAAGTACAGTCAAACCTCCCATAATGGCGGCCATTTTGGGGTAACATTTCTTTTTGAAATATACAACTTCAAACAATGTTATTTTTTTTTATGTTCTAGTCAGTGGCCAATAATCAGGGGTTCGACTGTGCTCTGTTATTGTTAGGTTGTTATAGTAACAAATTTAACGAGGTTTTTTAGAATCCAATTTCTTGGAAACGTTCAGAATGAAGTTCAAATTCGCCAATAAAAGGTTACAAATTAAAAATTAACGTATTTAATTATATAACAGGTCATAGTCCAGAGAGCTTTGTCAGCTAGAAGCATGGTTCACGCTAAAGCCGGATGTATACTTGCTGGTTATCTGAAGTTACTACCACTTTACCTTTTGGTACTCCCAGGAATGGCTGCTCGCATATTGTTCCCAGGTTCATATTTTCATATTTATTTACGTTTTTTTTATTACCTTTAGCGAGAAATACTAAAAAAATAGTGTATTACAATTAAAGATATCGTCGCTTGCTCCGATCCAAAAAAATGCGAAGAGGCTTGCGGAATTAAAACTGGATGCACCAATGTAGCATATCCTATGTTAGTTCTTAACCTTATGCCAGCAGGTAACGTATTGATAATTCGTTATGCAACAGATATTAATAAAAATATTAATTGTTATATAATTATAATTAAATATTTAAACAGGTGCTCGTGGTATGATGTTGTCTGTGATGTTAGCTGCATTAATGAGTTCGCTCACCTCCATTTTTAACAGTAGTTCTACTATTTTTACTATGGATATATGGACTAGAATCAGGAAGCACGCTTCTGAAATGGAATTATTAATAGTGGGGAGGTAATATTTCGCATTTATCTTATGTAATTAATTATACAAGAAGTTCTTAGTCGTATATTATTGTTTCTTTCTTTATAATTTTAGGGTTTTTGTATTGATCCTCGTGGCTATAAGTATTGTTTGGATACCAATTATCCAAGCATCTCAGGGAAGTCAATTGTTTCATTATATACAAAGCGTGACCAGTTATCTGGCTCCTCCCGTGTGTGCCGTATATGTTTTGGCAATTTTATGGTCACGGATAAATGAAAAAGTAAGTATAATATTTTAAATTATCGTAAGCATGGTAAACCCATCAATTTTTAACGAATTTAATTTCAATTTAAGGGTGCTTTCTGGGGTCTTATGATCGGACTTGTGATAGGTATAATTCGATTTGTAATGGAATTTGCATACACGGTACCCGCTTGTGCAGAAAATTTGCCAGATCCCAGGCCCGCTATTCTTTCTAAGGTGCATTATTTACATTTTGGATGCATACTCTTTGTTATTGTTTGCATAGCTACTTCAGTTATCAGTTTATTGACAGAACCCATTGCAGAGAAACACGTGAGTATTGAAATTCAATGTTTCTGATCACGTCATGAACATTTTAAAATGTATAAAATTAAATTTTATTCTAACAGTTGTATCGATTAACATTCTGGTCAAGGCTCAGCCCCGAAATAAGGGATGATTTAGACACACAATCCACATCAAAAGCCAAAACTGCCAAAGTATCCGATGGAGCAGAGAATCCAGGATTCCAAGAGATTGAAAATGGCGTTTCTATCGAAATGTCACTAAAATCTCCGGATATTCAGCAAAACAAAGAAATTAATCAACCCCAAAACAACATATTCGGTTAGTAAATTCTATTTTTGAGTAGAAAACTAAAAATTTACACGAAATAATTAATCATTTCTTTAATATTACAGAACCCGAACCGACACTCATCAAAAAAGCATTTTATTTTGTATGTGGATTGACTGAAAATTTAAGGAAAAATAAGGATCAAGAAGTGGAAAGGCTTTCTCCAGAAGACGAAGCGAAAAGGGCAGTGGAATTTATGAAATCGAACCCCTTCTGGGATACCATAAGCAATGGAAATGCTGTATTTCTTCTCATAGTAGCATCATTTGTATGGGGTTATTACGCATAAAATCAAAAACATTTCGCGTTATTTTAACGAGTGGACTATCGAGTCTACCTGTAAATACAAAAAACAAGCTCTTGTATATATAACACTTTACGTTTGTAATTAGAAGACTTAAATCATTCGACGTTGTGTAAATTTAGACATTTTTTTCAAAAATATATTTTTTAATAATCAAGAATTTGGAATTTTTAAAAAGAATTTTACCATAACACAATAAACACTATATGTAGTATTTTAATAATTAAAATATTTATTGTATAAGCGAGTGTTTTTAATGTCGTCCACACGTAAAGGCTGGCGTTGACGGGTGACAAAATGAAAACAATTAACGCCAACAACTGGATAGACAATCAACAGAGACGATCGGTTGCATTCATAACAAATAATAAGACAAAACAATAGCGATGAGCGCAAGTGCTGCCGCTATTGGCAGTGGCACAAATTAGTACTGCCTCCTTTGGCAAGGGGATGAAGAGTGGTTCATTTTGCACGAGCTCATGAGAGTTCAAAGGCTTTATCCTATTCTGATTTTTAGCAGTTCAACAAATGTGACTTAAATAGTTTAAACTATTTTGAAGAATATTATTCTGCAAGAAATTGAATTAAAAGTATTCAAAACACATTTTATCTATCGGTTGTTTAAACAAAACTAATCGAAACGAAACAATTTAAATACAGTTTAATTTTACCTAAGTGCACCGCTTATGGCTGCACAGTAATTTATTAGCATAGGTTAGGTTAGAACGTGGGCGGCCTTGACGGTGCACGTAGGTAAAGTTTGACTTTAAATACATCTACTTCTAATTGTCAGTTTGGGCCCAAATACTTTTAATGGTTATTTAAATAAATCGACTGTTAATTAATTAAAATGACACTGTTCGTAATTGTATTGGTTCATTGACGAATTTGCATTACAAAACACGTAAGATTGTTATTAGAGAGGTTGCGGCCGAAGTTTTCATCTCTCAAACGTGAACGTCGAGCGCCGCTATCTTGTAAGCGATGTTCGACGTTCACGTTTGAGAGATGAAAACTTCGGCCGCAACCTGGCTATTAACTACGGAAATACAGAAATTACGGGAGATAAACCAAACCACGTGTTAGTACACGTGTTGTCAATCACAATGTAAATTTCGAGCTGCAAGGAAATAATCTTTCCCAAACTCCGTCTGGTGTTTCGTCGTCTGAAAAGCTGCAACCCGATATATCCTGCGTTCTCACCATTGCTCCACCGCTTCCACCGCTACTCGCTAAATTTTTACTCTGAGACATCTTTCCTTCTCACGCTCACACACCGAAATCCTACAATACAGTAGAGCGTCGTTTATCCGAAAGTCGGTTATCCGAAGGAATTCCAGTCGACAAATTTAAATTTTCGCCAGTGCTGTGGCGCTGTAATCTTTGGCTATGTCTTCGGCTACTAAAATATTTTACGTTTTTGATACTAAATTAACTTCTGAAGTATAATTTTTTTATTGTTTTTATATTTTTCAATATATTTATTTTGTTTGTACAAAATAAAAAAANATTGTATATGTAAAAGAAACTTTATTGATTTTATCTAAATTGCAAAATATATTTAGTTGTCATTAACTTAAATTTATTTGTTTAACTGTTTCCGCCCTATGGGCACTAAGAGGGCCTCTTTTTAGCAAGCCCATTATGGGTTCGGTCAGGCCCACAATGGGGCGGCTGGGTGATGAGGGACGGGGTCGACATATCCAGACCCCCATTCCTCACCCCTGGCTGCCCTTTTATCTAGTAAAATCGGCTGTAATTAATTTGGATAGCATGTATCTATTCATTAATTAATCTGATATAAAGTATACAAAATTCAAACATAATAAAATGAAATATTTTAGTAGTGTAATTAAAATTTAAATTTAATTACAGTACTAACAGTCTTAATTACAGTCTTTAATCAACAATTTTGGGGTCTCGAATATTTATATAAATTAGAAACCACCATTAGAAAGGTATAACACAAAGTGTACAAGGATCATCTAAGGATACATTAAAAATGAAGAATAATTATATAAATTTACTTTATATATAGTAATGACAAAAATAATTTCAATAATTGTCTTTTGTTTATATATTTACTATAATAATAAACATTATATTGTACCTAATTTAAAAATTGTGCATTCTGAGACTTCCTATTCAATATAATACTAGAATTACACTAACAAATTCTCAAAACAAGTCTATTTTAGTCTAATTTTTAAGGAAAAAATAGCACTTTTAAATTTTATTTATTTATAATTATTGACTTTCCACTCATCTGTTTCTAAACTCCATACAAGTAAATATTTTTATTAAATATCAGATCATTCCATTAAGACAACGTTTCTCAACCTGAGGGTTGCGGTGATATTATTTAAAGGGTGGGTCGTGAAAAACATTAATGACATTAATTTATGAGAAAAAATCATTTATTATAAAGTTATAAACAGTTTACTTACAATAAGTACACGTGTAAAGGAAAGAAATTAATGTGATGATTGCATGTGAATAAAATAATATACTTACTGTTACCATTAAGAAATTAAAATAAAAAAGTTCAGTAAGTAAAAGTAGTAAAGTTCAGATTAAAGTTCAATAATGGTCGTCCAATACAGTTGGTGCTATAATAACGTCTTTCCGTACATATTTTGCACACTATTTAGCCATTTCTACAAAGCAAAACGCGAATTTTTTAATTAATAATTAATTAAATTCATACTAAAACAAGTATTCTATTGTATGGGAATATAAAACTTCTGAGAAAGGGTTGAGAGCGGATATTGCCACCAGGGCGGCGCGCGAATACCGTGCCCCAAACTCAAATCTAGGTCGCGGGGGGTGGTTGAAATCTGAAATATAGGTCGAATGTCTATGGAAAGTACAGTTGTCCCTCTATAGTCCGACGCACCTCCTGTCAAGGTACCCGTCCCCGTTACGTGTCTGCTTGCACAGAAGCATGTCGCGATGTGAATCTCCCCCATTCAATTCTTACTCGATGACACACATTTCGTGTGTTTTATGTGAGCAGTTCTGTTCGAACAGTTGGAGTATAGAATATTGTAGGCTACTGCTAGCAAAACAATGCGAAATATGTAATTATTTTCGGTAATCCGGACACTTTTGGTAATTTGACACACCTTTGGTCCCATACCTGTCGGATTATCAAGGGACAACTTTAGTTTTATAGTATTGAATTTAAAGAATTTTATAGATAATTTATCTACTGAAAAACAGGATTGATGCCGATATCTGTTATTAATTAATTTTAGATCCTTTGAAGAAGTGGGAGAATATCAGAACAACAGTCTTAGAATGGCATCCAAACCAGGTTGAGGCTTGGAGATTTCTACAATTGCAATGCTATTAGTTAATTACTTACGAAAAATCCTGAAGAAAAGAGAAAACCAATCGGCATTACACAGATTCATTAACCCTTTCTAACGGAAAAAACATGACTAATAAAAATGCAAGACTGCGTATGTATGTACAGTACTGTACTGTACTTTCATTATTACATTTAAATAAACCTAGTAATAAAGTATATATTTTTTATTTTTGGACATCTCCAGAACGAATTAATTAAATTCCCATTAAAACCTATGGTAAATCGATAATCAGTTAACGAACAATTCGGATAGCGAAATAAAATAAAAAAATAAAATTAATTATATATATATTTGATGCTTACTTTTCAGTAAACAAAAAATATGTAATATATATAGTTACTATTTACAAAAAAAGAAAATAAATGCAAGAAATGTTACTACTAATCTTATAAATTCTTTTTATAACGCTTCCTTTGCATGTATGTCAAGCTACATGTGTGCCATCTTGTAACGAAATTTTTAACTAAAGACCTTTCTAAATTTTTTATTTACCTGTTAATACATTGTGGTGTAATTAATGATATGTTTTGCATTAAATAAGTAAAAAGAATTATATATATATTTTTATAGCCTTTCTTTTCACTAAAAAAGCAATGCATTTTATACACATACTAATTACAAAAAAATATATATAAAAAATATTATTTTTAGTTTGATTCAAAAAAATATTAACATTTAAAATTGTGTATTTTCAGAAATTCGTCAATTCAGTTGAATTAACTAAATTTTTTAATTGAAAAAGATGAAAAACGGAATTACATTTGCAATGCCATCTGGAGATCACAACAGAAACTATTTTTTACGTACTCAAATAATCTATATAAATAAAAATGTAACGTATGTTCAAATTCTTAAATTACCGAAATATTTTCGCCAATTGTTTTGAAATTTTGACACAACATTGCACGCGAATAAACGTACTATTATATATATGTCCGAGCAACTCCCGGTAAGCTTATCCGCTAGTATGTTTTATATATTATAAAAAAAGTTTAACTTATTAATATATTACAAAATAATTCGAATGTTTTATCTGTTTTTTTTATTCTAATAATAATATTATTAGATTAAAAATAAAATTCATTTAATCCTTTAATTAATATATTTTTATGTAATTTTTTATAAATATCTAAACAATAAATGAATTCATCTAATAAAATAATATATTTAAATAATGAAAAGTATTTAATATTTCAAATTATTTTGAGTTTTTAGATATTACGTCACAAGGAGAACACAGGAAGTTGAATGGCGTCACAATGTGTTAATGCTGTCACATGACCTCTCACATCACTGCAAAAAACACATGCTTCTGTTTACAATATTATCTTGTAAAGTAATTAACAAAGTTGAATAAAAGTGTTAAAAATAACAGAAAGCTGTCACTAACAAACATATAAGAGANTTAAAGGTATAATATAAACATTAAACATTAGACAAAAGACAAATTTGACGTTCAATAAACGAACGGTAGCAAATTTTGTTCGTAATAAATTAATTCTGACTCTGGTGAATTTACACTACAGTCAGAATTATGCTTGTCCAGCTTCTTGGCGTCACGAAGTAGCGACATCTCGTGGTTAAAAACAGAACTATGGCTACGAAATCGTTCTGTAATTAGACGCCAGTTAGCGGACGACATGTCCGCGTTCCTGTCGAATTCGCTTAATCAACATCGATAGCAAAATATAGCCAAAAGATAGCCTTCGTTTTATCGTCTTCATCAAATATTCTAATGTTTTAATAAATTAATTAGAAAAAAATATAATTTAATTAAGTGAATTAATAATAAACTTTATTTTAAAATTATTTTTTATTTTAATTTCTACCTCCGC